AAAAGACGTGTGTGAATCAAAAAAATTGATTTGACACAAACATGACGTAAGTTCCAAACAACATAAAGCCCAAAAGCGCTCTATAAGTGCGCCCCTTAAGTGCGCCCCATGATGTCGATTGACCTCTCCTGGTGTTCCTTCGAAGTTGCCTGCGCCCGGGGACTGTGTGATCGTACCAAGTAAGGAGCAAGCAGTCCGAGAAGGCGGTGATTTTATGGCTAAAATTAGGTATGGGGTTTTCATAGGTGTCGATGAATCAATACCAGAGGGAGCAGTTGTGGCTGTGCGTGACGGGCAAGTTTCAAGTCTGGTAAGAGTATCGGGTCCAAGAAAGTGGAAATACGCGGGCTTGAAACGTTGGCGCATGCACAATCATCCCACGCAGCCCGAGAAAGTTGTGCGGGTCTCCAGTGTTGGAGATGTAGTGTGGACAGCTCCGCACACCAGCACTATGCTTTCGTTCGAAGAGAGACGTCCCACGCAGGGTCCGCATGACGTTGATGAGTATGTGCGTCGTGGCATTCGCGGGTTCACTGCGCAGCAACATTACTCATTGTACATGCACTCTTATGAAACTCCAGATGAAGTGGATGATGACAGCACTCATCCCGGAGTGGAGTGCTCGTGGCTTCAAGTGGCTGCTCATCATGCAAACCTTGTGAGTGAAGCGAGACCATCGCCTGATGCATGGGTGAAAGTTGGACATGTACTGATTCGGAGACATCTCACTCCCCGTGTAAACATGTTTGAGCCAGTTGAAGACGAAGTCTGCAAACAACCAAGTTCGAATCTATCAGCAGATCGTGTCACGATCATGTTGTCAGAGGGTGGCAGAAAGTCGGTAGTCATTGATGGTTGGACGGACGGGAAGCCAGGTCGTGCGTTGTTGCCTGACAAGCGTAAATGGAGAGGTGTCACACTGTTCGGAGTTCTCAATCCCTCTGCGGGTGACGAGGTACCGGAAGGTGCTGCGACAGTTGCTGCAGCAAAAACCGGTCAAATCACTGAACTGTTGCTCATCGGTACTGGTTGCCGGAACCAGCCGCGGAAACAGAGATGCATCGGATGGAAGCTGTTGCGGATAATCTGGAGACGGATGAGTTGGTGAATGTACCGGTAGACCCAAGGGAGGTTGAACAGGCAGTTGAGCCTGAACGATCCCGATGGATGGAGGGCATCCAGGGAGAGCTGTCCAATCTGGAGAGCATGGAAGTGTTTGAAAGGATCACGCAGGAGGAGTATGACTCCCGCAAGGTCCAGAATCCTAAACTGGCAAGACCTCTCCCTGCGAAATTGGTCCTAGTCAAGAAACCCAATCCTGACAGCCCCGATCCTCAGAACCCTTTTAAGTATAAGGCACGGGTTGTAGTCTGTGGCAACATGCAACCTGGAGCTCAAAAGGACTTGAGCAATCGTGCAGAAGTGCCAGATGCATTCTTTACACGATGTGTACTGGCGCTCACGATGATCCTTGGCTTCAGCCTGTCGGTTCTCGATGTCAATGCTGCATTTCTTTATGCAGAACTGCCCGAGACTGAAAGCACAATCATCATAGCTCCACCTGGTATCTTGAAGAGGTTACGGTATGCCAAACCAACCGAACTGCGGGTGCTCAGACGAGCGCTGTACGGACTGCGGGTATCACCGAGATGTTGGACGAAGACCAGAAACGACACCATTCGTGGGGTTGAGGTAGAACTCCCTGATGGTAACACGGCGGTGTTTCGTCCAGCAGATGCTCAGGAACATGTATGGATGCTGGTTTATACTCAGGGAGGCATTGCAGGATACCTGCTGTTCTATGTCGACGATATCCTTATGCGCTACGCAATCTTGTCGCAATCCGGATCAAGATTTCAGAAATCTGGAAGGTCAAGGATCAAGGAATCTTGGTGAACCCCGCCGACAAGTCTGTAAAAGATAAGGTGGAAAGATCCCATAATGCTCAAAATGAGTTGGGATTCTTGGGTATGCGGATTGGTTTCAGCTGCAAGGGTAACCTGGAATGCCATCAGATACCGTACATCAAGAGTTGCTTGAAGGAGCGAGGGTTCGGAGACTTGCGTGGAAGTCAGTCACTGCCAAACATCCAAGAGGGAATGGAACCGGAGTTTGAGAACAGAGATTGTGATGAGTATCGATGCTTGCTTCGCAAGGGGCAACAGGAAATCGGTAGCTTGATGTGGGCATCCCAACGCACGAGGCCGGACATAGCGGCAGTGGTTGGGGTTTTGGGTTCGATGTTAGTCACACATCCACGAAAAAGTTGAGTGGAGTCATCAAGTCTGGCGCTATTTGGCAGCGACCCTTGAACACAAGGTAGTGTTTGACACGAGGACAGACCAAGAGTCGCAAAGCCTCGAGCTTAGCGTCAGTGCTGATGCAAGCTTCGCGCCGGGTGGGGACAAGAGCAGAAGTGGGGTGGTGGCCATGCTAAATGGGTATACCTTGTACAGTGGACTAGCGTCAGACAAAGCCTAGCAGCGCAGTCGGCTGTTGAGGCTGAGATACAGGCGGCTGGTCTAGGATGTACACATGCTGTAGCCATCCTGAATCTGATAAAGTGTCTGTTTGAGGGGACTTTGACAGTAGAGCTCCTCTCTGACAACACGGGGTGTATCGCAAACATTATGCACACCGTGACGACATGGCGAAATCGCCATTTTTGTGTCCGAGCAGCTGCTTTGAGAGACCAGCTCACCGAGAATGAGATAGTTCTCAAGTACAGGTCCGGAAAGCTGATTCTGGCAGACGCGCTCACCAAAGTGTTAGGAAGGCAAGCCCTAGAGTTAGCTAGAGCGGCATTGGGAATTCGTTTGTCAGCGAATGCCTCCTGAGGAGGAGTGTTCCATGATGTCTTATGTGTTTAAGAGGCAGGAACCATTCGACTGAGAAGATTAGCATGCGATTCCTCGCATGGATGACACGCACTATCGAAGTGCAGAGCGCACGAAATCGAGAAGTGTACCGTGTGGGGAAATTGGCTCAAGAAAAAGTCGCGCATCGAGTGATTGACGCATGTACGTAAGTCATGGAGATAGCTGACGACGGAGATGAGCAAGGCGGGTATCTTTCAACAAAACCCTGCAGTTTGGGCTCTCTGGGTTCCTTGCATTTTCCTTCCGAGGTCCGTCGATGCGGCCTCGGCGAAGCGAGAAATCCAGGAGGCCCGCTCCTGAGCTAAGGAGTTGACATGGAGGTTTTAGGGTTTAGGGTTTAGGGGGGTTTAGGTTTGGGGAGAGCTGGGCTAAGGGATCATCGGCAGCAGTGAGTTGAACAAACACGAAACATTTCATCGCAGTCTCTTGTAAATGCCGACGTACCCATACTCTCTTAGGACCAAGCCGCCATACCATTTCAAGAACCTCAGCTTTTGTGGTCTTTTACAAGCATGAACAAGGCTTAAACGAACAGCCACATGTGTTTTAGCTTTCGCCTAAATCGACCACTTCGTTCGGAAGCATGTAGCCTCATGGGCATCTTTCATGCTCGGCTGTGTTCGCACGCACACACACACACACACACATACAGTAATGAACAGGATAAACGGGCTTACGCTTACATGACGGCCGGAACAAGGCCCGCCATTGTGTTATGGCAACTTCGGCCTATGTTGAAAGCAATATGGCAACAAGAAGCAGCCATTTTGTTAAGCCAGCCATGAAGCCTTCTACATTGAACCCCTACCCCGAACCCTCAAGCACCCTACACTCCTACACCCTGAACCCTGCAAAGAGAGCCACAGACCCTGAACCGTGAACCCTGAAGGGAGCCCTCATCCCTCAGCCCTGTAGAGAGCCCTGAACCCTAAAAGACCTAAACTTTGAGCTCTGGAGCGGTGGGCACCAGTTCCCCCGAGCCGCAGGATTGACCCCCCCCCCCCACTCCCTCTCCCATCCCTGTAACCTAGGACCTACAGGGCCCCCAAAACTGACCAATCTCGGAACTCGAGACTGTCCAGTTTCGGAAGTCTTGTACTCCTAAACCTTAATGGGAACAGAGCCGGAGTTACCGAAAACTATCCATGTGCTGCTCATTTTTCGGAACTTGGCATTACTTCTTTTTTCTCAACAGTCTTTACACCGGAAGCGATGAACTAAGTCAAGGAGTTTAGGGATTACGCCTTGGGGAGTCGAGGGATTGGTTTGTGCACTTTGGTTCATCATATAGCCCACATCGAAAGTCGTGGTTTCAGCCACCGCAAGCCTTACATTACATACATATATATATATATGTATATATGTATATTTTTATGTATATATGTATATGTATATGTATGTACACATTGTACACATACACACAAATATATGTACCTCTATTCCCGTATCCCAAGCCCTGAAACAAAGCCGGAATTCAGGAGCCCGAATCCGAAACGGCACAAGCCGAACAACACACATCTTCAGTTTTTCAACACCCATCAGCAGAATTAGACAGCAAGCGGACAGTGAAGACCAGGGATCCTACACCCTACCCCCTAAAACTAAGACCCCAATACCCTAAATCCTGTTAACCGTGTAGACCTCCCTTGCACAGGTGGTCATGACGCCCTTCCTGCAGCGGTACATGGCTTACATGATCTCCCTGGGCATCAGCTTCCAGCAGGTCGCACTATGAGCGGATTAGGATATGAAGGGTGTTGTTTAATCCACGGGTGTGGTAAAGCTTGCAGAGGGGGTGTCTCTAAGGTCTTATCAGAGCTTCGTAGGCGGTGAAAAACGGGTTTCATGACGTATTCAAGAGGGTTTAAAGACCAGGGTAACCCGAAAGCCCTGTCCCGGCATATAGGTTTGATGGGATTGAAATATTGAATGGGGCTTGCAATGTGCAGCCAGCCTCCTGCATGAAGTACGGCTTGATCCAGGCTTACCTGTGCGTCCAATATTCAACTGTTTATACGGTAGAAAAACAATCAGCGTCCTCATGCCGCAAAAGCAAAGTCCGAGGAATCCGCACCCTAGTTCTGCTTAATCCATGTGCCAAGTGGTGTTCACTGTCGGGCTTGTGCTACCCGCTAGAGTTATGTATGGGGTTGTAGATGTGACCTACTATGATGTTTAGGGTTTAGTGCTACAGGTATTCTGAGTTCTCCACAAAACAAAGCAACCTGTACATTGATTGTTCTTCCTGTGCTTTTCGGGAGTGTAGTATCATTTTGCGAGCATTGTCTTTTGTCTCCTTGCGCTGCACAGGCGAAAGGGGCCACGACGCGCACACTGCAGAAGCACGTCGAGTTGCTGGGTACCAGCCACGAGGCGGAAACCATGGATTCCGCAAGCAAGTATCATCTGACTCATGCTCGCTATCCTGGCAAGTGCTGCCAAAGGCTGTAGCCCAAACTCCAGCCACCTGAGCATTCTGCCTTGGGTATTGACTGTCTGATAGGTCCGCCGACAGACGTGACAACTCCCAGACTTCAGAAACCGGTCCTTGTCGCTCAATCCGAAAACTTTCGCACGTACCCAAGACAAAGGTTGCCGAATGGTCTACGGCTTGGCCCTAGCTTGTGCCAGAGTCATTATCACGCTACGAGTTACGGGTTCGAGCCTAACCCTCAACCCGAAACCACAACAGCAAACCTCCAAAAGATTTTCCGCATGCCGAAGGCGTATCTCCGGCTCATAACGCACGATGCAGAGGCTTGGGCCTGTGGCGGACGGTTCGGACTCAGTTCATGCCCACCGCGTCTTGAAGACTTGCTCGCATGTCGGCAGGGATTTGAAGGGGTTTTGCGTAACAATGTGAAAGGAGCCAGTAATGAAGGCTGCTCTTCACTTGCCTTTGCGCTTGAAGCCCCAAAGCTGAGAAAGAAATACGTAGGATTTGGGTCAGCTAGGGGTTAGGGTTCAGGCAGAAGCCTCTCAAGGATTGTCCACACCCACAACCCTAAACTAGCGGTACCACCTCAAACTCTAACCCAGCCTAACCCTCAACCCAACCTTCCCGAGTCGAGGAGGTCCAAGAGGATCTAATTTAGGGCCTGGGGTATTATCTATAGTTGTTCAAAAAATATCAAGCTCCCCAAAATCCCTCGTCGAGAATTCAAGAGAGCCCTAAACAGCAAAGGCCCGAGAGTTCAAGAGAAGCGTGGCCTGCGGCTGGGGCAGTAGGCATTCCGAGAGAGGCAGCTGCATGAACAACGAAAATCTCAGCGTGAACAGCCAAAGTTTCAAGCAACTCAGCAGCAAACGCTGGAGTAAAAACAGCAGTAGTAAGATACCAATAATAGTATAGTCATAATAATGGTAGTAGTAATAATAAGAAGGTTTTTGGATGGGGTATGAACAACGATATATAGAGTAAGGAGCACTTTATCGTTTGGGACGTTCAACCTGCAAAGTTGTGCAAAACTGATGGTGTTGGCAAAGGTCATGTCGGGATGAAGGAATTTTAGTCAGTCGCATCATTATGCCTGCGTACCTGTATGTGCATATATTATATACATCCATGTATCAGACCTTGTTATTCAAACCCACTTTTGTTTTAAAGAAACTAAACCAAACCCCTGTAAATCCTCGATCGCTCCTTGCGGAGGCCATACCACGAGCTTTCAGCGGCGAGGCAGAGAAGCACCCAAAGGCCCAAGATTGGGCTTTAGTTGCCCTGTGGAGTTCGTAGTTCAGGTTTCTTTCCCCAGGTGCCTATACTTGTCCTTGATATCCATAAAGCAGTAACATACTGGGTAGGCACCTGGGCCCATGGGGTGGAGTATGGCCCCGTATATATTCCCCTGCAATGGCTCCGATAGTCCCTCCGTTTCCCCGGCAGGTAGCAAATTCTGTCGTTAAGTGTCGATTTCCTATGACTACCTTCTGGCAGGCATTTTGGAAGGTTCTGGGGTTCCGTTGCTTTGGGGTTAGATGTTCAATTCGGACTGTTGCTTGCTCCTTCATGGGACCTGATCCCTGCACTCTAAGATAAGACCAGACAGCCCAAATTGCGAGCTAGACGGCTTAAGGGTTTGTTTTGTGGTTTTGGACCTTCAGGTCCGTACCCTGAAATGAATTCTGGAAGCAGCACGCGGTATTTTGTTTTTCGATATTGATGCATGAACAAGTAGTAGTGGTACCATAGAATAGTATATCTATTTCAAAACCACTATTCCAAGCGTCAGGCCCCTATATTATACGTCCGAGCGGAACTCATAGTGCCCTGCGGTTGCATTCACAGACATGCTCGGGTAGCACACCGGAGCCTGACAAGGGAGGCGATGTTCATTGGCTTAGCTCCGCAACACCATATCTTCACAAGCTTTGTTTCGGTTCTTGCAGTCCAGAGGTATTCCAACAGTTTAGATGTGAATATCGTTGAGTTTGGGCAAGCAAGGTGGTGGAGGAAATACAGACCAGCGCAGAGTCGCAACTTGATTCATGACCTTTGGGTTTTCTGGAGGGTGCTGCTCAGGTTTGAGCCTCGGGGCTTAGATACATAGGAGTCTAGAAGATCGCGAATACAGACACCAAATTCGCCTATATAGTAAGATCATGGACCTCCGGCTCGAGCACTCTAGTTAAGCGGATCAACTCCAAATCCAGGAGGTGCCAGCCCCAAGCACGGCGACGCCGAGCCCTTCGCAGGCAGCTCTTGTGCAAGTCCGTAGAGCATATTGCCAAATGCCGGTGCCAGTATACGCATATTCTCTGTGATGCTGTTTCGTGAAGAAGATGGTCATCGACTCTAATTCAATTCGAAATGTCCGCCTGGAGAGGATTGCATTTTGACAGTTCGCAGCAGCCCAGCTGCCTCTACAGCGGGTTGCTGTTCCTCAATCCCTACAAAAACCTTCTTGGGTCCACAACCCAGTACGCGAGTCCGTCTCTCTCGCTCTCTCTTTCCTCTCTCTCTCTCTCTCTCTCTCTCTGTCTCTCCCTACTTATATATATATATATATATACATATACGCACACAAAAACACACGTACACAACATTACATATGTAGGTCCAACACTCCAAACAGCCTTACCTACACCGTTTGAGACTAAACCCTACGATCATCATCTCCATAAAACTGCAGGAACTGGGCTTGTCGTGTTTCCCAAGACACTACCGTTTTGTAAAACACTACAATCCTGATGCGCTTGTATCTTTCAAAGTTTCATGGGCTCGGCTCCTTGTGCAGGAGCCGCAGGCACCAAGCCTGGCCACCCCGAACTTGGTGCAGGAATCGAGTTGCTAGGCAATAACGAAACTAATGTCGTGATGATGAATGTTATATAAGAGTGTTAACAATGATATAACATTAATGATAGTAATACTTAGTACGTTAGCATACTCAGAGTATAACAGGATAATGTAATATAATAGTTCTGGTTGCGGAAATGCATGAGGGTTTAGGCTCCAAGAGCTGATGGGTTAAAGCGGGGTTCTGTCAGGTGCTGGGAACCAGGATATAGGGTGTCAAGGGTTTACGGGAGGGTTTCGGGGTTTGGGGTTTAGGGATCAGGCTTTGGAGGAGGGTTTAGGAGTCTCAAGTTTTGAAAATGCTAGTCGCCATAAGTACCTTGGCCTGAGAACTGGTCTTTAGAAGGCCTACTTCCTGCCGAAAACTAAGTTCCAGTAGGCTGAGGCAGGCTGCCCTTTGGATACGATCTTCTTACAGAAGGACCTTCAGAAGACCTCCCCTATCACTGCATTGCACAAGGAGGTTCTTCTAAATTCAACAAATCGGTTAGATTTGGAACAAGCCCCAAGTGTTCAGACAGGCATGGAGACCCGACACTTCCATAAACCCGAGATCTTTGGTCCTAAACCATAACCTCTACCCTGTTCCCGAAAACCTAAACCCTGGATTGTAAGAATCCTCCTTTAAATCCATCCCAAAAAACTTCACAACACACTCGGCGCAGTCGTTTTGCCACAGGGGGATGTGCCGGCTGTGCCGATGGCCTCTCCCGTTTCGTCGCCCGCACTTTGCTCAGAACTGGCGTTCTTAGGGGGTGCAACAGGTTTTTATGTTTTGTAACAGGGCGTTTATCTGGCGTTTTCGGACTTGCGCTTTCATACACCTGTAAAAGGGTTCATTTCTGGGACTTCCGAAACTGAGGGCTTTAAGGCTGAGGACTGCGGGGCTTGAGGGTGTAGGGTTTTAGGGGTTAGAGCTTTGGGGCTAGGGTTCCGGGGTAGGGACCGCAGCTGCGTAGGTTTTCAAGGTTTGGAGCTTTACAGCGCTGCGGGGGCTGTAGGACTTCCGGTATTTTTGAGCTTTCACAGGCTTCTTTGGCTTTAGCTTGGAATTCAGCGAGGGGCTCTCGATCACGTGACGGCAATATATTCGGAACTTTGTGGTGCTTTGGACGGGAGTGTTCAGGGCTTGAAACAGAGTACACAATATTAGGATTGTTAAAAACATGGTGTTCAGCAAGGTCGTACATCCCGGGATGTGCAGCCCGGGCCACAACACTTAACATCGTCGAACCGCTCCCAGAATAGACTCTACAACTCTTTCAAGCTTGTGGCCTATGGGTGCAAATGCTTCAATCGGAAGCTAAGCTCCAAAGCCCCCGAAGCCCAGCATGGCCTCTCCATCTAGATCCTACCTTTCAGAGGATCTGATTGAAAGGTTGCTTTAAGGTTTTGACGGTCTTTGGGTCCCACGAGGACTTGGTTCAAGTCTCATGCGGCTTACACCCTTTGAGGTTTCTGGGGCTCCAGGAGTTAATTAGCCTTGCAGCTGACACGGAGGCCAGCGAGACAGCTGTCGAGACTATCGGCTGTGGCCCCAGCCGAATCCAGTCCTGGGTTGAGGTCCCCTGGAGGGTTCTTCTCTCGGGGTCGATGGCGGTTTAGGATTCTTTATGAGCTTTCTGTTTTGGACTTGGGCTCCCTCTAAGTGGGGGGGGGGGGGTTGAGAAAATGGGGAACGCTAACCTGCATTTGATCATGCATTCTTCCATGCTGCTCAAGATTCCTACGTTCTCAATCGGCGGTAGAAGGTCGTGAGCGGTTTCGCCAGAGCTCAAGATACGAAAACGGTTGGCGAACTGAAGAGTCCCTTTGAAAGGGCGTTCAGGATAGCTCGAAACGGCTTTAGGGTGGTAGGTTCAGGTTGGGCTACAGCGCATGGTTCAATAATGTTACGCTAGAGAACGTTATGTATGCGTGAATGTGTGTGTGTATATATATATATACATACACATGGAGAGAGATATATATCCGCTGGTTATATAAGAATGATTGTAACTATAATGATAATAATAATATGCGCACATACATCCACAATACATATATGTGTATGTGTTTGTAGTCCTGTTCATGTTTTATTTCGATGTGTTTATTACTGTTGTTTTTTGTTATTGTTAGTGCTATTATTCTTATCGTTAATATGGTCATTGCTGTTGTTGTTTTATTCGTAATTATTTCGAGGATTGTTGTTGTTGTTGTTGTTGTTGTTGTTGTTGTTACAGTTATTATAGTTATTATACTTATTGCTATTGTTCTGATTGTAAGTCTTAATAACTAGTATGATCAGCATAAATACGTGTTTTATTGCTGTGTTTATGTTGGTTATAATTTCTCTTATTCGCATTTATTTTCACAGTTTCGGTCCCTGCATTCCTTCAGCCGATGCAAGAATAAACCTGTGCTAATGTGGAGACTTCGATGAGAGTGACCAAAGCATCGCACAAACATAGCTCCCTGAACTCCAAGCATCACAAGCAGCCTCTTCGGCCTAGCTGCTGCATCATCGATAGCCTTGCCACAGATCGACCAGAGCTTCGCGACCATGTGAAACCTAGTGACCTAAATATTTGTACAGCTGCCTGGGCCTTTTCCGCTCCTTTCGGCTCCATAGCCGGCCTTATCGAGCCGAGCTTGAGTTGAGTTAGGCTCTCTTTGTTGCTTCACGGTTCGCGGCTGCGGGTCATGGGGTCATGTGCACCGGGAAGCTCTTAGAAGCTTGCAGTTCACACGCACTTTGCAGCTTTCCAGCACTTGCAAGTATCTACCGTTGAAGGGAATCCTCAGCCTAAGACTCAGTTTGGACCCGATATGAACTAGCCAGCTCCAGCCTACTTCAGCCAGAGGTGTTGCCCGCAGCCCTGGAACAGCGCGAAGCCGTGAAACGTGTTGTTAGTCGCTGTGTTGCGCACAGTCGTGTGATCGTGAGCCAGTCGTCCCACATACCGTTCAGTTCAGAGCCCAACTTGCTAAAGCGTTGTTCCCGATCTGTCGTCGACTTTTTCAGCAGGTGGACATGCCCTGCTGTGATGTCTGTTTCTCTAGGTCAATGCTTGAACAACCTAAACCCGACACGCAAAGCCCAACCAAAGTCAGCCAAGGCTTCCCAGCTCAGGTAAGCTTGTGCGCAGTGTGTTGGTCCATATGTGCATGCTAGCTATGGAGCCAATGTTGGAATTCTCAAAGGGCCCGGTACTTGGCGTCTGAGGATTGGGATTTTCAGGATCCCTCCATCTCTCGGCCTCAAAGTTCCATCCACTTCTGAGCTTCCGGAGGTTGCCGAGGACATTGATTTTGGAACCAAGACTGGCCGATTAGCCGTTAACCTTAAGAGAGGAGGACCCTGTGGGAACCCATCGGTTGCCACAGCGTCCTCCTCTCAACTTTTCAAACCCTGGGCCATCCTAGGCTTGAACACCATAAGCCTTCTAATCATAGTTTAACATTCCTCCTCACCCCCCCACCCTGGCAGCCTCTAGCTCTTTGGGTCGAATCATGGAGTCTTCAGGTTTCAGTCTTTTGGGGTTCGAGGGTGTAAGCTTCAAGACAACGCTGGACTCTTTTTTGGGACATTGTTGTTTTCAGGCTCTGGAACTCCCTTTCTGCAGGCATCTCCAAGGAACCAGTATTTCGTTGCTGACCCTCTGAGACTGGAGAGGAGGTCTCATCAGGTGTTGCCTGGGGATCAACCTAAACAGAATGCCCGAAAATCGTAACCTTTAGGGCCAGATGCAAGAACCTAGGTAAGCCTCCGGACACTACATCCTAAGTCATAAACTCGAACCTTAATCCCCAAGAAAGGAGCCTTACACCCTAAACCCAGGTGATCGGAAAGTCCTGGATTTGCAGCAGACGCTGTGAGACTTTCGATCTCATGCTCTGGCCCCCGCAGACGGAGGACAGCGGGCACAGTGCAGGATAATCTAGAGGGCTTACAAGGGTTTAGGATTTATAAGGTTTTAGGCTTTATAAGGATGTCAAATTGAGGAACTAAGGCTTCGGGTGTATGGGGTTTACGATAAGATTGGACTTTCAGGCCAGGCTGCGGTCTTTTGCATGCTATCACAGGGCTTCCGGTGCTGAGCCTACAACCAGCTCCTATGCTAAATCCTAAAGCCTAGACCGCATTTGGAAGAGGCTTCTTTAAGACCGTCGACCGGTCCGAGCAGGTACGGCTCGAGATTCTCCAAGGGGCCCCAAACCTTGGGAACACTGCCTTTTTACCCCGGCGGAGGTTCAGGATTTATGGCTAGATAGATACTTGCAGATAGATGGACAGATACAAGTCTTTACATTTTAAACAAGCAAATAAACACATACATACCTACATACATATATTTATATATATATACATGTGTATATATATATATATATGAGAGAGGCGCCTCTAGGGTCTATTTGACGCCGTGTTGCCTCCTTATACACTTAATGAGAATGTGAATAATTGAAATAATTGAAATAATTGAAATCGGAAACCCAGGATTTCAATTATTTCAATTATTTCAATTCGGGGGGGCCCCAGATA